GGATGCCGTCACAACTTCGCTTTCTCACAATTTAAGATTTTATGGACACTGATGATCCAGGCACCTATATCGCACACACACAAGATCTGATGATCTAAATTTTCTCGATCACAAGGGTGATCACCCACATATCACTTTTTCAATACTCTACACATCACAATGATCTGATGATCTTCGGACAATGATTGTCCCACACGCTCACTGCGGTAAATTTTCTCGAACACAAAAGATGATCGCACAAGTAGCACCTTTATCACCGCGCTTAAAGATGAGCTTATTTCAGGAGACTGTCGTTCCTCTTTTTCTGGACTGATGTCCGTAACTTCTTCGTGGATTCTATTCCCCACTTCGAAGAGCTGTAAATCACTTTTCGAACGGATGTTCGTAAATTCATGCTGCACTTCAGAGCCTGGTGGTCTGTACTATCTGCAAACACTGATGATGTTCGGACAATGGCTGTCCTACAAACTCGAGATGAATTTCAGACTCGGGCGGTCTGCAATCTCTGCATGGATTTTCTTATCTGAACCGTTGCCACCGTTTATTATAGCTGTAACGTCAGGACACCCGTGTTGGGTGAAAGAAAGACAGGTTGTCTTTTAAATTATTTATTTGATAAACTAAAATAGATTTCTTGATTAAAACATAAAAATAAACTGATCATTACAGCCCTAAATCATACAATATCCGCTAACGCAGATTGGACGCAAAAAACGTCCTTTTTACTGTAGTTACAGCATAAAAAAAACTATTGTTCTACAGAAACCACTGGCGTGGTTTAGAATGCAAAAGATGCGTCCCGTCACCTCAAAATCACATGAAGAACTCTTACACAAAGATTTCACTCGTTTTGTTATCTGCGAAGAGAACATAATTAGTTCCTTGTGTCCGGAAACTCCCAGGGGGTTCTATCTGCAGTCCTGCTTTTTGCAGGTATGGTCCATTTCGTCCGCGAACAAAACAGGAAGTTATAATTCAGCACCTGTACCTGCGAGGGGTGCTAGTAGCTGTAATGTCACACCACGAAAAATTCTCTTCAGAATTCATTTTAAAGCAGTTTTTTGTTTTTTTGGAGGAAAAAGAGTCTTTTTTTTTCTGTCCTTAGTACAGATATCACGCAAAAAAACATCGTTAAATTGCTTTCGAAAGCTGTCAAAGTGGACATTTTCGTTGAAACATGCTGCCTGAAGCTTTTCGCGATTACAATACTTCCTTTTTACTTCGTACAAGGAAGTAAAAATGCATGATATAAAATGTTAAACATTAAAAATACATATAAAATTTTATTATGTGCACATTTCATTTAAAAATAATGTTTTGTAATTTATCTGCTGAACTAAAGTAATGCTCAGTTCACTCATCGAACCACTCAAACTTGACGAAATGTGGACTGAGTAAATGACAAGTTACCAAAAACAATCAGTTTTACAGAATCTCGGTTAAACGCCTTGTAATATATTGCTGCAAACTAATTTATTAAAATTATATACAACTCATAATATTTCACCTGAAATTCTGTTAAATTCCTTTACTGCATAAAGAATAAAAGAAAATATATAACATAGCAAAATATAACTACTGTGTGAAAATATAAAAAGTTATGTAATTTATAAGCAAAGTGGCTAAACCTTTTGGATGAAAATCTGCCTAATTGGGACTATACCCCACATTCATTTTTTCTTTGTGCTTTCATTATAAAAATTGTGCAAGAATAAAATGTTAATTGCAGATAATTTTTTTCCATGAAATTATGCAGACTTTCCTAAAAGGCTTTCAGTCCTCCAATGCATGTCATATATTGTATAGTCTTTTATATTCTCATGCTGAGGTTCTTCAATCCCCCCTTTTACAAGGACAATAATTACACAGTCTTCTATAAAGTGATCATTGTCATCTTGCCTCATCCATATGTCAACATCACCATGAGCAATTTTCTTGCAGCAGTGAATCCTTGCTTCAACATCTGGAAATCTATCAATGAGAATAGCCAAGCATAAAAAAAATAATAATAATAAAAATCTGTCTCTGCCAACCAGTTCATCAATGTAAACAGCACATCTTTTATGTAAATATATTGCAAGCATACACCTTAAAAAATTTAATGGAATAGTAATAAATTATTGTCAAACCCCAGCATAAAAGCAGCCTCAAAGTCAGAGAAGCACTTGTAATCACCATGAAAAACCTCGTTGCAACAGAGGCCTTACTTCAACCTTCCATAATCTAGACAATAATTCTGAGTACAGCAACCCTGTAGAACATAAAGGAAGATGAACTTAATCTATCCATTCCAGCTCCTGGTGACAAAGCAGACAGGTCATCTGCAAAAGCTCCAGTTTTATGTTTGTTAATAAACATGGTTTCAGCACGTAAGCTTAAAATGTTTTTATCTCATTTTAACTTTATACTGCAGTTAACTTTCTAAAAAGAAAAAGGCTCTAATACTTCTATCATGTAATTTTTCAACATCGGGGTGTGATGAGAATTGCTTTGTGTGGAAGATTTCTTGGATTTAAAAAATGTTTCCACTGAAGAAACAAACTGTTAAAAAAACAACCTTTAAACATTGCTTATTCCACCCTTGCATTTTAGTGGTTTCAGCACCAAATAGGCAAGCCAATAAGAGTGTACTCTTACTGTTATTTGCACATCTTTGTATATTTTCATATGCATAATTAATGTTGACTTCCTTATAAACATCAGTTGTTAATGCAACAGGCGAACAAAACAGCCAAGCATAAAAAAAATATAGTTAATATTCACTTGTAACATTGCTACAAAACAGAATTATAACTCTCTTTTACAGCATAAAGCACATTTCTCACTCACAGATACAAGAGCTTTCGAAAGTAATATTAGAAAATTAAGGCCTATTCCCCTAATAGATGCAAAGCTCTGCTCTACAGAGATCACTGTCTTCACTAATTTATAAGTCCTTGCATGTATATATTTTTCAGTGAATATGTTTTTCAGAGGCCCAGTGATGCAGTGGCTAGCGCATCGTGCAGCAGCACCACAGGTCCAGTGTTCAAACCCCGGGCTGAGCAAGGTCGACTCAGCCTTTCATCCCTTGAGTTGATAAAATGAGTACCAAGTTCACTTAAGGACTAAACACTGGGGGGTCCTGTGACAAGCTGACCGCTGGTTCAGAGAATATGCTTATGCACCCCGGAGCCCACGGTCAAGAAAGCAGATTTCAGGACACTGCAGACTTGGCCCATTAGGGCTGTTTACATCACTGAGTTTAGTTTAGAATGTGTTTTTCTCTACAAATATTCCATTGTTTAACCAAATAATGCTGAAATCAAAGTAATTATTTAAGGGAAACCAGCAATAATCATCAGTACTCTGTATCACGTTTTTTCTTCCAAGCCAACCAGTACTTACACTAAATCCAGGCTCTCATTCTTCTCAAAAAACTGCTCAATAATTCCCTACCCCCATCCCACAAAAAAATGAAGCTTGTTGTAGGTGTTCTTAGTAAAATCATAGAAACATGTACACGGTGTCTTGTTCATTCTTCATATTCAATATTTTTCATGCTTTCTTTCATTTTAAAGTTATAAGTTCATTTTGCACATTTTCACTAAATTTCTAGTCTTTCCTTTTTTCAACCTCCAACTGCCCACTCAACACCTGAATTCATACCAGTTTTATTTATACCTTCACCCAATCTTTTTATTGCATCTCATTTGACCTCCATCGTGATATTGTTCGGTTCCTTTTTATTTTGAAAGATGTGTTTACAATATAGTACAACACTCTGACTTCAGATGCGACAATCGAAACTTTTGTTTACCTCAAAAAAGGCAGCAGAAACACCAAAAGAAACAAGCACAGTATGTAATTATCCTTGTGAAAATTCACAAACAGAAGCTTCTTGCCTTTAAAAATCAAAAGGGAGTGGTTAGAATAAAGAAATCAATTCCTGAAGGCTATAAAAAAATAACCAAATGTATCCTTACCATGAATCAAATTATCCTGCAAACAGCTCAACAATGAAAATAAATACTTTAAAAAAAAGGTGGGGAAAGAAGATATCAGACTTTTTTTCAGGAGGAGAAGGCAGTTTTATAGAATGCTGAGTTATCTAAAGTCCATGTTCTACTGTATTAAAATACACATTATCCTGCAATTTAGATACTGCTTTATATTATTTCATATTTAAATATTTCCACAGCAGATATATCAAAGTTTTTCTTATGAAAAAGTACCATACCCCAAAACAGGAATATAATAATGACAGACATTGGATGAGCTATGATTGCTGTGTGTGCACCACATAAAAGCGTTAGTGCAGGTTAATGGTTACACTAATCCTCCATCACTTTTCCAGAGACTAAGTAATTTTTTTTTCCTTCTAAGTGCTTCATCAAAATGGGACATAAAAAATGTCGAGCACTTTTTTCGTTACCTAGGTTTAGAAAAATGTGAAATTATGCTAATTCAAAAACACTAGCAATTTTGAAACATTCATACTCTATACCCAATGAATTAACAGTATTTATTCTTGCTAAAAAATGTCAGCAACCATATGCTGCTTCCATAAACAAAAGTATGAAATAGTATATAGAATAAATTGAAACAGGTTATTTACATATGTTAAAAAGTACAGTGATTAATAACCCTCATTCCATGCAATCTCATTATAACATATATGCAATGAAAAATTTTGGAGTTACAGCTTCATATCAGATTGAAGGATAACTTAAATTTGGATGATTAGATTTTTCACCCGAGTTAGCATAATAAAGTTTACATTTTGTAACTATTTCAATACATAAGTCAAAATTTTTGTTTGATAATAATCTCATTGAATGATTCATTAATTAGTGTCACAAATTCTATAAAACAGACTTTGAAAGGACAAAAAATTATAGCAGCAAAGTATTGCGAAAAACGTTATTAGTTTATTAAATCTGGGTACAACTACTTGGGTTTGAAGAACTAGCATCTGTGCAATAAAATGGAGAAAAATTTGAAAAGTATGTAAAACAAACCTTATAGATGAGTTCGACTATTACTAATTGCAGAATATCACCAAAAGTATGAACTTGATCAATGCATGAACTGAGGTAGCTTAATGCTCTTTCTTGGTCAACATGAATAAGCATCATAAAAGCATTACGTTTACAAGACATATCTTGTTCAGTTTCCAAAAAATTTGCAACTAGTTCAGGAGCATCAGGAATAAGGAATTCAAAGTTTCTGAAAAAAAAAAAAAAAAGTATACATAATATATATATATATATATATATTACAATATTTATTTTTGCAAATGAAAATGCTGCAATATATTTGGGTTTTAGCAAAAGTTTTCCACCGCTGCAAGTATCATTTGCACAAACAGTTCGCGTTGGTGTGTTTAATCCTATTTAATCAAACTATTTTTGGCATTTAAAAGAAAGCGTTTGCATTAGAACACTGCATTGTGAAATTTGTAAATATATAATTATCATTACGTACAAGGTGTATAATATGAACTGTGAAAGTTTGGTACTGGAAGTTCAAAAACAAGGACTATGACATTCAAGAAGCAGTTTTGACCAACCTGTTGATGCTTTAGAACACTGCATTGTGAAATTTGTAAATATATCATTATCATTAAGTACAAGGTGTGTGTGATTTTGGTGGTGATTACTACCCGCACTAAAGGTACTGCTTTTGTGCGTTTTTTCCCTCCTATCTTTATTAAGAATATTTTTCGGCAGAGAACTTCCATTACAACCAGATATTTCTGAAATACAATATTAAAAACTTTTATTTAGTTTTATAAGATGCAAAAAATTCTAAATTTAAAACATTGAATATAAATATTATAGAACATCATACACAGGATGTCCCAAAACTGCATGCACAAACCTTGCTAGGAGATAGAGAACAATGATATGAACCATATTCACATAAGAAAGCATGACTGGACATACCGACTGCAAAAGATAGACAATATATAAAGATACAGCAAGAATACAATATAGATGGCAAAACAAAATGTTTTATTAAGCAAAACCTAACAGCACAACTGGAAAACACAAAGGAGTTTCACAAGACATGATCACGCACAGAAAGTCTGCCTCACATTGATGCCATGTGAACTGTAGAATATTTTTGAAGATATCTGGAGTTTATCAGATATTAACAGCAACGATGACAATTTTCTGTGAAGTCCATGCCAGAATCAGCACACATTTTGCATACAATGAACTTAATGGTCTATTGCATAAAGAAAGAAAAATGATGCTAGATAAATCGGGTGAAGTGTGGGATATGTGTAAATGTGGGATATGTGTAAAGTGTGGGATATGTGTAAATGTGGGAATAAAATGTGGGAGTCATTCGACAAATCCAATACACTCAACTCACTGATTTTTAAGTGTCTAGTGGTCAAAAAATAAACAGACAGCAGTAGAAATAAGCAGTAAATTGATTGTTTTTTGCTTTCAGTTTTTAAATATTCTGACCTGTACACATTAAGCTTGATAACTGCAGAAAAGTAACACATCAGGAGTCACAAAAAATTTTGAAATTCTGATCACAGTTTTTGAAGTTGCTACAAAAACAGAGATGCAACTGTTGAAGAAATTATACAGAAAAATAAAGATGCATCAGAAATTAAATTGGAAGATCATATTAACATAATTTGCTAAAAAAGAGTAATACATGAATTTACTAATAGATGATGCAATGTTCATGAAACAATCTTAGCTTCAATTTTCTTATTTGCAAACAACCAAATAGCAAGACCAGATATACTTGGGAATAAACAAGCTTAACATACACATTCAATTTGTTCTACAAGTAATTTAAATAATAAGGAAGGAAACTGCCACGACTCAAAAAATTACGATTGTTGACATATATCATAATCAAAATGAAAATTTTTATGTGGAAAGGTCTCACTAATGGAAAGGTATCACTAATGATTATTAGTTGCATTTTTCATATTCAGTTAAACTCTGGTTAAATCTTCTTGGGGGTTTTTTCTCTAAACTATCGTTATTGAGTTGAGCCACTTTCCTTCCAAAATAGGAATATTCATGTTCTTTTCCTACGAATTAAATTTCCATTACCAATTCTGAGACCACATAAACTCCACTACACTCAGAAACAATATTAACTGCTTTTTATTTAGAAGTAAAATTCAACAAGAATTTTGAAAATTATAATTTTCAAAGCTCTCAAGCTAGTTTTATTTCTTACCTGTTACCAGCACTTTTTTGATTTTGTCATTTTATGTACACCTATTTTCCCTTAATTTTTGCAGTTTTTATATAATTTGAGTAACAAACAAGTAGCACAATTTCACTTAAAAAGAACAATTTTTAAAAAATTACTGTTTCTTTTCCTTTTTTTAGCAATTAAGTAAATAAGTGTATAATAAATATTCATATACAATGTACGCATGTACTTTATTTGATTTACAGCCTATACTGCTGTTTGATATTCTTTTCAGATTAACAAGCCATTTGTTTATATGCCCTAAGGTTGAGCATAATTGCTAAAATACTGTATTATGTCCTGCTCAGTCAAAATTTATTTTAATATATAAATGTAAAAAGCTACCAACAGCGCCAATATATAACTAACTTGTAAATTGTGAAGATAGCAAGAACAGCATTTCTCCTAACATAAGAATGGCGATGCTCCAGACATGCACGTATAGCTGGCATTAAAGGTTCTAACAACTCTGGCTCTTTCAACTTGCATAGAAACCTCAGAGTAGAGCCCCGAATGAATTCATTTGGATGCTGTAAATCCTGTAAAAATTCATGAAATAAATATTTTTTTGCATAAAACACATATCTATCTACAATAAGTGACATTTTTCAGATACTAAAATCAAGCTAATAAATACATACCAGTTGTGATGTAGCTTTAATAATCATAAATTTTCCAATATTAAATCAAATTAGGAAAACTATACTTAAAAACACAAAGTGTATCAAAAAGCATGTGTGCACTTTCTTTGCTCACAAAATCATTATTTCTAGCACTACAAAAATATTTCTTACACTATCTGACATGGAAAAAAGAAAGCTTCAATGTTCTCAGTTGCAATCAATATTTTGGCCAAACACAAGTATTCCTAATTTTGGGACTAGTCAAGATGCATAAGAAAATCTGTTACGCTCTTCACCTTTAAGTTTCTATTCCTGACATACCTTATTTTTCTTCCCTGCAGAAAATTTTCATTACTTTATTGTTAATGAAACACCATGCGCCAAATATTAGCCAAACCATCAAGTAGAGTAGCCTATTTATACCGCATCATAAACAATTGTGCATTGATAATTACATCTATATATATAATGCTTAATGTGTATAATGTAAAACTTGAACAATTTTTTAACCCAAAATAATAATAATAATAATCGCTTTGTACTGGAGAGAATGAAACTGCTGTTCTCCCCAGGTACAAAATGATCAGTTTTTACTTAAAAAACATCAACGAGTTGGAATAATTTAGTATTGCATTAAACTTTATATATATTGTATATTCCTTCTATATAATATCTTTTCATGGAAGATTTATGTATCATTAAGATTGCTACCATCTAGTCAGATTTCGAGCCAGTATTTAAGTTTGATGCTAAGTGATGCTCTGTTAATTGAAAAGTACAATTTTTCCTTTGGTTTAAAAATGTCCTGTAGATACAAATTCAGCCCACGAATAACAAAATTACTAAAACAGTAATATCTATAACTGCTGCTATCCAGATTATGTGTGCTATTAAACTATTGCTTTGATATATGTTAATTTGAAGCAGTAATGTTTATATACAGAAGCATAGGGAGAATGCCAGATACAAAAAACCTTCATCCCATTTTTTTTTTTTTAAATTTAAATTAGACTAAATGACAATTTTGCAAGCAATTTTTCCAAATACCATTTATTTTTATCAGTCCTAAATAACACATTCAACCCATTTTTACCAGATTTCTTTTTATATAGTTCTCTTTTTGTAGCAAGTTTCCAAAAATTCAAACATGAATGGAAAAACAAATATTTACCTTTTATTTATCTGCTTCACTTACCAAGGTTTTGAAGTTTTTACTTGAAAGCATCATTTTGATTAACTAAATTTATACATTTGAAAATTATGCAGCTTAGATTGACAAATCACTCTTACCTCATTATTTCATTAAAAAAATTCATGTTATTTTAACATTTTAAACATATTTACTATTATAAGCAGTACTGTCACAAAGAATGGGTACATTTTTGTTACATGAGGTTACAGATGCACAACATTTTGCTCTACAGCGTTGGCACTGCAATATGAAGTTGAATTACACATAAACTTTAGTGATCAATATATTAAATATCAAAGCATTTAAAATTTAAAAATCAGAATGCCAGAATCAACATAAAATTTTTTTAAAAAATGTGATTATTTTATTACATTTATGGACAACATACTTTTTAACACCATAATCAACTGATCATCTACAGCGGCGGTTCTCAACATTTTGACTAATGCGTACCATCTAAGCCAAAAACTGAAAACCTTTAGTACCACTGCTACAAAGTACTACTACCCCTCTTAATCACATAAATTTACGAGTGCTAGAGACAAACCTCAATCAGGATGTTCGGGTTTTAATTTTTTAATTTAATAGTTAAAAACACTTTACTTCTTTTCGTACCACCGATTGAGAACCCCTAATCTACAGCACTATTACAATAATCACATATAAACACAGAAACAAGTAAGTTAAGATTCTACAGTAAAGTGATAACTTCTATAAATATGCTTTTTGTTTATCTACCCTAGATTTTTGATAATTTAAGTTAACCCATGAATTTCCACTTGCTCCTATACAGATTGCTTTCAGCAATGGCTTCAGTTTTATCATAAAATTATCTTAATTTAAAATTAACAAAGACTAACTACAATTATTAATCATCATCAGAAAAATAAAATCACTTATGTACCTAAAATTTAAATTAATTTGGCAAGAGTAAGCTATTAAATACTTCAAATTAAAAGCAAGTTGAGAAAACACATTTCAGCAGTAATGCAACACTTACTTTTCTGTATGCATCACAAACTAATATCATTTCTTGCATGAGTTTGCCATCTGAGGTTGTTTTAGGAACTATTTCCCAAAATATTAGCAACAGCTTTTTAATAGTATGATCTTGCAGTGGTAAAACAAATCGTATTATAGTCATCAAAATGGAAGGAAATTTTTCACCATTGAGTATCAGATGAATTGTCTTCTTCAAAGCCTCAATTTTAGTTCTTATATCACCCTTCTCTGAAATATAAAAACCATATATTTAGATTTAAAAAAATACATAATACTACACTCACAGCTATTATTTAGCCAATATAATCATATGAGTTATTAAAATTTCAAAATTATTCATACTAATTACAAAACATACTAATTAACTTCAACCCTAGCTATGAACCTTGAAGCATGAAAAACTGGGATATTTTCATGTTGAGCAGCAATACAATTTCGACAGATCTCCATTGAAAAATCTGATTTAAAAATCATTTTATAAAGCATAACTCAAGTTATTAAACTAAATACAATATGGATGAAAATACACTACTAAGATATTAAATTCATTATTATAAATTTTATTTTAAATTTTTTGACCAGTTGCATTTAATTTTGTAATTTTCCTAAAATTTTATTTTCCTAAAAACTCACTGACAGAGAAAAAGTTTTGGCTAATCTTTGGAATATAGTAACAGGTAGTTTGGCGACATTTTGGTAGGCGATAAAGGTTACTACCTAGGACTTTGGGGGATAATGTTAGAAGTACTCAGTTCCGATTATGCATTATTTTGTGTGAGGGAAATGAGAGATCATGAGATATGTCATGTGACATTAATGGACGAATTACAGTTCTTTAATCGGAAAAGGGGGGAAATCTGGAAAAAATCTGGAAATTTTGTATTTAGCTTCATTCTGTGTTGTGTGAAACAGTGTTGGTTAATTTTTGGATCCCATGGCCCTATCTAAAGTGAGTTCGAAATGGGTATTTAGTGGGATTGAAAGGGGTAGTAATAAGTCTTTTTTTAACGTTGTGCGAGATAGAAGTAAAGGATTGCTTATTAAGTTTTATTAAGCAGTATATTCTACCTGGTACAATAATATCTGATTGCTGGAAGTCATATGTCTGTTTGGAGGATGAAGGTTTTCAACATCTTGCTGTGAACCATAAGTATGATTTTAAAGATCCTGAAACAGGCACACATACAATTGCTTTTTATTTAGCAGAGGAAATAATAAAAGTTTATCCGCCACGTAATCAAGATTCTGAAGAAGATTAGGTAAGTTAGTATTTTTAATTATTTGAGGATATTATTTTTATGCATTGTTCTAAATGTAAGGAGTAAATAAAGTAATATGGTATTATTGGAAAATTGTTATTAGCAATGATTTAGTTTAAAGTAATTAGGATTGTAAGCTAATTTTTATTAATTTAATGTATGTGCTTATTTATATTTTAAGTAGTGTTTTTTAATTTAATTATATTTTAATTAAATGATAGTTATTTTGTGAATTATATGTTTGTAGGAATTTGGTATACATTTCAGTGGAAGTAAACGTGCATGGCAATAATTTAAGTATTTGACACTAAGTATTTGCAACCATTTTTAATGTTTGCGTTATGAATTTGTTGGTGACGTTTATAATAGATAATTTAGAGGTAAAAGTTTTTGGATATTTTATTTATTTTATACGTGCAAATGTTCATCCTTGGAAAGGGTATATACTTTTTCGCGATCAGGTAATTTCATATATGTCCTTTTTACCAGATTTAAAGATTCACAAAATTTTCATGCATTTTCGTGAAATTTTTCTAATTTATGAGAAAAAAGCAGTGTACATGGATATAGTGAAGAGTGTGCGCAATGCCATTTTTGTGCAATTCTGGGATGTTTTTTTAAGTAAAAATAAGTCGACGTGTGTTATGGTTTAGTTATATTTTAATTAAATGATAGTTATTTTGTGAATTTTATGTTTGTAGCAATTTGGTATACGTTTCAGTTGAAGTAAACGTGCATGGAAATAATTTAAATATTTGACACTAAGTATTTGTAACCATTTTTAATGTTTGCGGTATAAATTCGTTGGTGACATTTATAATATAATAGATAATTTAGAGGTAAAAGTTTTTGGATATTTTATTTATTTTATACGTGGAAATGTTCATCCTTGGAAAGGGTATATACTTTTTTGCGATCAGGTAATTTCATATATGTGCTTTTTACCGAGTTTAAAGATTCACAAAATTTTCCTGCATTTTCATGCGAATTTTTGTAATTTATGAGAAAATAGCAGTGTAGATGGATAAAGTTAAGAGTGTGTGCAATGTCATTTTTGTGCAATTCTGGGATTTTTTTTTAAGTAAAAATAAGTCGACATGTACATGGTTTATGTGTATGTGCGATTCTGAAAAACGCGGTAAGGAGTTTGCGATTCTGCAGTTTTTCCCAATTTTACAGTTAATATTTGTCATGATTAAGCAGTCTTGTTCCATAAAATTTGTAGCATAAGTGTAATTCGGATAGAAGATTGTTGGAAAAGTGTTCAGTAAATAAAAAGAAAAGAAATATGTCTTACGGCTAAAAAAAAATAGTGTGCTGTTGTAGCAGAGTTGGTCGCCAAAAAATCGCCAAGTTACTATAATCCAAAGTTTTTATATATCAAACAGCTTTTTAACATGACGAAAATAAAGACAACAATTAATGAGTAAATAACTGCACAGATAAACTTAAGAATGTACAATTTACAGTGAGTCCCAAAACTGAGGGTATACTTAATGCTAATTTAATTTGTAGGTTATTATGGATAAAAATTATTATGCAAGTTTTCCTAGTTTTGTCCCGTTAAAAAATATACACTTTTCTTCTTAACTACACAAAAAATAAGTTATAAAACTCCGTTAAAAAAATATTATATTACTTAAACGAAAATCTTCAACTTCTGAAAGTCACAAAATTGAGAGTACACTTCTTAAATGACTGTGTAAAACTACCTGTAAAATTTTAAAAATAATTTGTACCTAAGATTTATACAAAAATACAACCTTTTAGTATGCGAATATTCCAAATTTGAGCTTACTACCTTTCTGTGTGACAAATACGGAGAATAGGAAAGAAACGACGATTGAGGAAAGAAAACTGGCCATTAATCTATCTAATCAAGGCAAATGTTTGAGAAAAATAGGAGAAATACTTGGAAGAAGTGTAAATTGTACTAGAAAAATCATTCAAAAATTTAGAAAGGATGGTATGCTGGAAAACCAAGCAGGGAGAGGCAGGAAGAAAATTCTCAGTTCAGCAGCAGAGAGGAGAATTGTACACAAGGTAAGGACTGATCCTACAATAAGTGCCCCAAAAATTGCGGCAAGTACTTTGGAAACTGTGGGCAAATCTGTTTCTGCAGAAACAGTGCGCAGAATCCTCAGAAGGGCTGGTTATAATGGCAGAAAAGCTCTCAAAAAGCCCTTCATTAGTAAAATAAATAGAGCTAAGAGATTAAAATTTGCTAAACAGCACATTCTAAAGCCTAAAATGTTCTGGTATGAAGTTATTTTCAGCGATGAAAGTAAATTTAATGTTTTTGTCAGTCACGGTCATCGTATGGTGTGGCGCAAGAAGAAATGAGCTTTAGATCCAAGAAACACAATTCCAACTGTGAAGCATTGAGGTGGGTCAGTAATGGTTTGGGGCTGTATGGCATCATCGGGAGTTGGAAAGCTAGTGTTTATTGATGGAATAATGGATAAAACAGGTTATCTTAATATATTGAAAAATAATTTGAAGGACAGTGCTATTCAATTGAGACTAGGATCAAAATTCACATTTCAACAGGATAATGATCCAAAGCATACAGCAAATACTGTCAAAGAATGGCTGCTGTATCACTGCCGAAATCAGCTGAACACACTCCCCCTTAATCTCCTGATTTGAATGTGATCGAAAATTTGTGGTCCCACCTTGAAAAAGAGGTTCGAAAACATCAGATCACAAGCAAAGAGCATTTGAAGCATGTACTAAAAGTGGAGTGGGGAAAACATTTCACCCGAAATTGCGAAAAATCTTGTCGATTCGATGTCCCGGCAGCTGGAAGCTGTCATCAAAGCCAGTGGGTATGCTACAAAATATTAATGTGTTGTTTTTTTATAATTTATGTAATAAAACAATTACATGTACCCTCAATTTTGTGAGCTCAGATTTTTCACGATTTCTGTTGTACATTTTGTTTCTGTATTTCATGCAATTTTTTTATGTCTATTCATGAATAAATATTAAAATTAGGTGTCTTTCTACATCCTCGTCTAAAGGTTTTGGTGACTGTCTTTATCTGACAGTTTTTGTTTTCATTCTAAACATGAATTCTGTTGTAGAAGGGAGTGTGCCCTTAATTTTGGGACACACTGTAAGTATTTAAAGCAAAATAAAATACAAGCATTTACCAAATTTAGCAAATTTTATTTAATGCAAAATTAAATACACATATTATTTAAAATCAATGCAGAAGAGAAACATGACAAAGTGAAACATAAAATTAGTCAAGCAGCAACCTTGTGTTTGGCATTTTTTTTGGGGGGGGGTGTCGAGATCTCAATCTATTTTGAGGGCAAACAGGTACAGAACCCTCGTCACCAGAAGCAAAGAAATCTGCAAGACTGGAAAGCAGCTTTGATACTTCAGTGAGTTTACTGGCACACAGCAGGGAGAAAAGGTGCTGCTCTTGCCAGTTCATGATAGAATCTCAAACTGGGCCTCACCCGTGTTGAAATCTGTAGATAGACTTTCTCCAGATGAGGAAAATATCAGGGAAGAAAAATACAAATGGGTATTGCATCTAGGCTGAACATGTGAACGAATCAGGAGAAGTGGGAGGAGCTTGCTAACTACTTCATGAATACACTGTGCATATGAAAAAATAAAATGCAAAAACAAAAAAAGGTATTTACAGTATATATAGTATGACCTTTAAAGACAATTATAAAAATAAGGTCCATATGATGGAGCTAAGCAAGAGTTGCTCCAGAAAATTGATTAAATGAAAGATTTAATCATTTGAAAAGATCTTTTGAACAGGAGTCTTGCATGCTTATTGGTTGTGGAAACCAGTGAATCGAATCAAATTAAAAGAAATTTTTAATAACTCAACTGAATATATCTAATTATTAAGAAGTTAATAGTATTTGTCACTAGTGTGAACTTTCTTTAAAAATTCGTTATTTTTTAAGGCATTGAAAAATTTACTGAAATGTAGATTACTGTTAATCTTTTAAATTGCAAAGCTTTTACAGTTGATTCAGCCATTCTATCTCTTTCTTCAGACCATATGATTATTTTGTTATAGAGATCTTCACCACCACTCTTTTGTGTGGTGGTGAAGTTCCTGGCATGCTGGAAATGCACTTTATTATTGAAGCAAGACTGAGCAATGAAACTTTTTTTTTAAACAACTGAAAAGTTATATATTTTTCTTCACAACTTTTATTTTTCCAAATTTCATACTCTACTCACCAAAAAATATTTTTGCAATCAATACTTCAAAAAGGTGATCCATGTTTGTTGTATTAATTGTGATAGTTTCATTACATTTTTTCTCCTGTGAAGCTTCAATTTCAGATAATATTAATTAACTGCTGTTTAACCAAATAAAAGATTCTGCTCTACCAAAACTTTTCTCGCAGCTAAATGTAAGAAAGACAACCATCGTGATTTTGAGGGAAACCATCTAAATAACCTTTAGCTTTAACCTTTAAACATTTCTTTCAACGCGTGCATGCGTAAAGCATACATTACATATAGCTGAAATTAGAAAATTGCAACCAGAAAACTATTTGATGTGTATTCGTGATATTTATAATGACGATGAATTTGAGTTAAATCACATCAAAGACTGAGTACATCGACATGAAATACTACATTTAGTAAGGAATTATAAGGCAAATAAAATAAAAACGTCTGCCCTGAAGATGAGGATAGTGCTGACAGATCAGCTTCCAGTTCATTGCGTGCTGCGACGTCCCCCCGCCCCCGCAGAGCAGCGTGAAATTGATAAACAGATTTCTGAATGGTTAGAGAAACAAAGGATATGCCTTCATCCATTTTTTGCAGTGATTCCACTTTTTGTTTGATGGATATCGAAACATGCTTTCGCTTTGTAGATCCTTTGACAGCTCCAGAATCGGAAATTCTTTTTGACATAATCGAAAGTTCAAGCTTATTTTTATAAAATTGCTCTAACAGTCTGCACAAAATAATAAGCCAGATCCAATTCAAAGATTAAGGAACAACGCAATCTGCAACATTAACTGAAATAGATTTTAGCTTAGCTTATACCGTCCGTTATACATTAAACGTGCATGCGTACATGTATTACGCTCATGAGTAAATGCATATGCGCACACGTAAAGGTGTTATGTGCATGTGTAAAGGTTTTATACGCATGCATAAACGCATTATGCATTTACACATGCGCAGAAAGTTTGTAGCTTTAAGGTCCGGATTAAAGACTTTTGACTATATTATATTGCGTCATTAGTGTTATCTCATAATACATTGCCAATAGTGGACACTAGCTAAGTTTCATGACAATAGCCACAAATTTGAAGGTTTTCAGATATTTCAAGCAAAAAGACGAATTTTCAATTACTGGAATTTGTGAAGAAATGCAGAGAAGTGGTAATAAACAATGCCTGAGTTATCAATCAACTAACAGATGGCAAAATCTGTAGTATGGTTCTAAATCTAGAAAATATCCTTACCAATAGTGAAGAAAGTGACAAAAAGGTTGCTGAAAATGAAAACATTCTGACTGACAATTTAGTGGGAATTCTCGACATAGCAACTGAAGACTTTGAACAATGGTACTTTGCAGTTAAATAAGAAATTATGTCTGTATAATTAAAGAGAAAATATTAACACAAGAAACGAATCACATTAAACAACTTAACATTGAAAGAAATGTTTACTAAAACAGACAAACTTTGAGCATTTTTTTGTATGTGTGTGCACAAGTAACTTTTGATTCCCTTTAGTTCATAATGCTTCATTATTTTATAAATCACTGTTTCTTTTCTTTAAATTTTTTTTTAATTTCTCTCTCTATATATATATATATCATATTTCATCTTACTAGATTTACACTGATCTAATATCCGGAAAAATCCCACATTCGGAACCCCAGAGTCCCGACGATCTAGATCTCGGACTTTGCACTGTATACAATATAAATGATCAGTTATAATTAAATAAATAAATTACAATAGTTTGTTTCTAAGCGAAGAGGTTTTTGAATAATTCAAATATCGCTTCTTTCTAAGTAAAATATTCTACAAAAACAAATATGCATGATATATCTGAAACAGAGGCTTTTTTTATTATGAAATTAAATCAAAAAATCAAATAATTTTGCTACAGCTAATTAATATTTTCAAGACTATACTATATACCTAAATCACTCTTAAGCTGCATTTCATTAGGCTGTTCCGTATCACTGGAAACAGATATCAGAGTATAACATATTTGTTCTGCAGCACTCATTGTGCCTAAAATACAAATAACAAATTATATTAACACACAGTTTTCATGAAATAATAAATGAATATATATAGATGCATACTCAATTAAGATAACAGTTCATTAAGAATGTTATACACAAACAACATTATGCAACTCTGATAACATATTCTTGGCAAAAGATCATGTATCAACATTTCTTCCCCTACCCCATTTTTCCCTCAAATACAACTTTAAGATTATTGCACATGCTTTACACCAGTGGTCTCAAACCCAAATTGCATGTGTGCTGAATGCACAATCTAAAAACAGAGCTTGCTGGCCAGACTATTTTTTAACAAAATAAAAAAATACTTCTGTAAATTCTTCTTAACAAAATAAAAAAATACTGACCATTAATTTGTGAAAAAAAGTGATTCCACAGACTAATGGTCTTTCTTGATGCTAACAATAAATTATGTTTAAAACATATACAAGATGTAACTGAAAAATCTGGTAAATAATCACAGAAATCCGTCAATGTAAATTATTTGAACCGATATATTTCATTCAAAATAATTCTTCTCTAATACACTACACTTCTGACAAAATTTGTAGAATTATTGGAAACATCCGAGTCTTCCATCTGTATTGCTTTTAATTTCCTTGTAACCACAGCATAGATACTTGAAATACTGAAAAGCTTTTTCAGAGCTGATTTCAGTTTTGAGAAGAGAGAGAAATCTGATGAAATAAGATCATGAGAATACAGGAAGTGGCACAAGTCAGTTGCCAGGTGGTTAGTGAGGAAATACTTTTTACATATATAGCAACGTGAGGTCATGTAAAAGAAATCAGGATCCCAGTTCAGTGAAAAGTGGCCATATCTGAGGAATACAATACAGCCAATTCAGAACCTAACAGTAAAAATCTTCATTCACTGTTTGGGCTTTCGGTATGAATTCTTTATCGATTAGCCCAAATAATCAACATTTGTATTTTACCCTCAATTTTTGAAATGAAATCTTTGATTTGAGCAATGAAGGACTGTGCCACATCATGCTTTGACACTTTGTTTCTATATCAAGTACAAAAGCACCATGTTTCGTCTCTACTTATGATAAACTGTAGAACCAGAATATCACTATCAGCCATGCTAATGATGTTACCACGATTCCATTCTCTGCTTTTTAGAAATCTTGTACAAATTTTGTTTAAATGAATCCTTGATGGCAATGGTTCTATTAATTTCATTAAGAATATGCAATTCTTCTTACCACCATTTGGATGTATGCAGACTGATCCTTCTTTAACTGTTTCTCCTTTTCATCACACCAATGCTTATCTTGGATAGTTTCCTCCTTCATGGAAATTTTTAAACATGCATTTACTGTTTTTGAAATTGCATCTATATCTCTGTACACAGTCTCAGCCATTTTTATGTTCTTTTGTTACGGTTTTAGCTAATCTGAAACACAATTTCATACTGATTCTCAGCTCCACTACACACAACTTTAACAACACATACTAAAAGCTATTGTCTGAATGCAGACCTAGAACGAATGTCAAGACATACACGAAGATGTTAGGTGATACATAAGAATGCCTTGCAAATGTCACTGCTATTAAAACAGGTCTCATTGTTGCATTAAGGACTTATTTACTCTATTTTCTGGTCACCTCATACATTATTCAATTTTTTTAAACTGCAAAAGCCCTTTATCTGAATGTCCTTTTGTTCCCATATTTTTGTCTATTATAATCAAGCTTTAATGTCTTCTTAAATATTAGTAGTTCATCCTGGCATTTGACTGAATATCAAACGGACTTGTCCCCCCCCATATGTGACATAAATAAGAGCTAATTTTCTTTAAAAATTCATATTAAAGTGGTCACAATGTATAATTGTTAAAATTATCTAAATTATCAAATTTATGACATGCATCTTATTTGATTCTTAGACTCAGTTATCACAGGTTTATGCAGTGGCTGATATAACAAAGAAGTAGTATCAAATTCATCAATAAAATCGCCAATTAACAAATATCTTCTCTTGTTGGTGCTGGATACAGTCACGATATTACAATCATCATCACTTAGCTCATTCATACTGAATTTCATGCACTTATGATTCTGAAATTATGTGCAAAGCACTTTTTGCTAATGTACTTAACTAATAATACTAATGTACTTAACTAATTTTACCACATCACCTACTAATTCATACATTGGCAATGGAGACAGCAAATCATATCACTGCTATCCATTTATGGAAGTGATGTTTTCATGGAAGGCTTTTTGAAATAAACAAATATTCAAACAAATATACATAAAATCTCATGAACTTGGCACATGCAATAGGTACTACAGAATCTAATCAGAAACTTACAAGTGTTTCATAATTTGAATCACTTGGTCACTAGCTGACCTATACATCACATGACTCCTAAATACTTAAACTCAATACACTCAAACTTATGCAATGAAAATAATACTGTTATGAAATGTACACGCACGATAAGATGGATTCCTGGCAAAGCAGTTTTAGGGTTGCCATAAAATAGCAAGGAAGGCAGGGTTACCACATTTGGCAATATGCCATGGATGGATGGAGAATCTTCTGGAATGAATTCTTACCAGTTTAGCGCAGAGTGTTCTCGAACACAAGCCGAAAGCTATATAAACCCTGCTGGTCTGCAGTCAGTTAGTGAGTGCCTCGCATAGAGTGCGAGATAATGTGTCTCGTCTAGCGAGCTGATAGTCATTGACCGAGTGTCTCGAAGTCTAGCGCCAAGTTGGTCGTCAAGTGCATCGAAGAGTCTCTTAGTGTATCACAGTTAGTGCACTATCGAGAGAGTGTGTAACGACTGAACTCCAGAAACGACTGAACCGAAGAGTCGGGAGCTGTGCTCTGTGTGTTGTCGAGTGCATCGCAAGTTGTAACATGGAGAGTCTTGAGAGTATGTGTAGTTCTGAGAGCGACCAAGCAGAGTCGGGAGCTGTTCTCTGGTGCTTTGCAGTGAAGCTGCCTCCACCGTTATTACCTGACAGTGTGAAGGCTGTGTCGCTGATTGTTCCAGCGTGTTTATTGTAGATCTTTGACGACGTGATTTTGAAGCTGTCCTGATTAATACTGGCCAATAAAATGTGTTTCGATACTTCATCAAGTGTTATCGTCATTATTCACTTCAAATCCTCATGAACCCCATACGAACGTGAAGGAAGAAAATAATGTTAACAACTGGTGTCAGGAAAAAAAAAAAAAAAAAAGTAACAATACTAAATCACCTGAAAAATCACTTTTAATTTGGACTAAAGTGAAGTAAACGGCATGCCAAATTTACTCTTAAGTAATAATTTTAGGGTAAAGTGCAGAATCACCCACTTACCGTAATTTCCGGAAGAAAGGCCGCACTCGAGAAAAATGGCGGGAAAAAAATTAAAATTACACAGAAATGCCACATCAGCGTAAATGCCGCAATAGATTAAATTGCGCGTAACATCGTCGTGGGCCGTATAGATGCAAAAACTCAATCTAAGTCCTGATATATGACATACCAGTTAAGAAAAATGCAAGAAATGAAACCATAACTCAAAAATAAATTAAAGGTAAGAGAGTGTATAGCTTCTGTGCCGTTTAGAGACATTTTCAAAAATTTTCCGCTCCCTAATAAAATAAAAAACTATCCAACAAGTACTTGTTACCCTAACTGATGGGATCTGTATTTGGCAGAATGCCCAAGAAAAATCCATTCATGCTGAAGGGGAAATACGTCAGAGTTCGTTATTGCGAGGCAGGTCCGCCTTTGAAAAAAATTGCAGAAAAGGCAGGGGTGGAAAGAGGATGGGTCCTGGAAGATTCATCGAATGGCAGAGGAGAGAGAGACTATTCAAACTGATGAGAATGTTGATTTGAAAGGGGGAAGAATGTTATTGGTCCGAGATCTCGTTTAGGGTGAATAAGGCATGTAGGTCCGTTCAAGGGAAAGAACGTAAACAAAATAAAGTTCGCAAAAAGCAACTGAGTGGTCTTTGTGTGGGAACAGCACCAATGTATGCACAATGACAAGGCCATCCAAACTATGTACAATGACCATCATAGGAAATATTTTATTTTTAGTGCACCTAAACACCGCATGGGTAGAAACGCCGCACCCACTGAAAATTTAAGTTTTAAACACGTAAACGCCGCGGCGTTTCTTCCGGAAATTACGGTACTTGTTTGGCACTTTTTACAAGAGTAAGAAGAATCGGATTTTTGTCAATTTTCTTTGTCTTTTTAAGTGAAAATAGGTTGATGTGTACATGGATAAAGTCAGGGGAGTGTGCAATGCCATTTTTGTGCAATTCTGGGATATTGTTTTTAAGTGAAAATAGGTCGATGTGTACATGGATACAGAGTATATGCAATTCTTAAAAACGCACCAAGCAGTGGGTGATTCTGCACTTTACTCCAATTTTTCCCTGATAACCTTTTTTTTTTTTTTTTTTTCTATGAAAAAGGAGGGGATTAGATTTAAAGTTTATGGGATTGTGAAATATTTTTCTCTTGATCACATTGTCTTTTTTTTTTTTATGATATTTTAAAGTTGCACATTTTTAAACAGCAAAAATATATTTTCTGGTTTGACTTCAATATATTGTTGGTGTGGATGATGGCAGAAAGATATTATTTAAGAATCCCAGAAAAGGTATGGATGTTTGTGAATGTCTAGTGTCTGTGTGGCATGGTGGCACTCTAAATTTACAGCAAGCTGAAAGTCCTTTCAAGAAACATTGGAAGAGGGGTTGACAGACACTTGAAGCCATTCCCTCTGGGGTGCTCTCCATAAAAATTGGCGGTGGAACTGAGCAAAATCGTACTGTCACTTATATGGTGCTCAAGGCTCTTGCCAACGACAGGGACAATCTTGCACTCCTTGCCACGATGAATTCCATGATCTTGTTCTGATGTTGCTATCAAGCAAGATAAGATAAAGACAGATATTATTCGGTATTTTTCTATAATTTACAACATTTGTTGGTAAAAGTTTACAATCGGGTGCCCCTTGTTTTTTGGCGATTCTTTTTTGACGCCAAGATCGGCGCTAGGAAGGCACAATTCAAGATGGCTGCTATACAAATCAAAATAAGAATTCAAAGAATTACACAAACTCTGTGTCCACGTACACATCAATCTGTTTTCACTTAAAAAAAACATCCTAGAATTGCACAAACTAGGCATTGTGCACTGGCTTAAATTTGTCCATGTACACATCAATTTATTTTCATTTAAATAAAATCAGGAAGCTAAAACAAAGTTAAAACTATCATGGTAACCAGAAGTGAGGTTTCATCGCCGAAATTTGAAAAAAAATTGTCGCTAATCGAAGAGGCACCCAATTCTACACTAGAGCCCATTTGTTTCAGGTACTTACATAAACTCAATGGAGGTTTCATAAAGCTAAAATTAAAAGATCTGTGCATGGAACTTGCAAGGGTAATAATCAATTTTATTCTTAACATGTAGAGTATATACATGCTTGAGGATTATTTTGCAACATGTACAAAAATAATCCTCAAGAAAAGTTTCTGTCATTTATAGAAGCCATAAAGAAAATTTATCCTCCTTCAGATATATAAATCATTTCTGAAAAAAAGGTAAGTATTTTGTTGTTATGAATCTATTTAATAATAACTGATCATAACAGATGCATAATTCTGAGTCTGTAATTGTCGAATATTTTAAGCGACAACAGAACATGGAACAAGAGAAGAAAAATTATGATGTATATGTATAATATAATCCTTATTTTAGAACTAAAATTTTAATTTTTCGTTTAATATGTCGATAATGTCTTTGAAGTTATGGGTAAAATCCTAGTATACGGTGCAGCCTTGGCGAAACTTTGAAAATTATCGCCAACACCAAAAATGATCCAAAGAACGTCTATATATATACTATACACACATAGTATATGTATATACACACATAGTATATATACTATATACATGGTATATACTAAGTTTAACTACATATTTTCTTTGAATGACCCGTTAACTACTCATCGTATATGTCCCGTTTTTACTGCTCATCATAAAGTCGCCAAAAGGAGCCAAATCCTGTGTGCACCGGATACTAGGATTAAACCAAGTTATGATAAATATTGATAATTTGGAGATCTTTTTGAGAAAAGGCGCGAATCTTAATAGAAGCGCTTATTAGTTTCTGTCAGTCCTCCATACAGATATCTGCATTTTTTTCAAGGATGCTATAATAGGTTTAATTAATCTCTTTGACTTTTATCCAGAGTCTCTTCTACAGGCAACACTTTCACAATTAGCAGTTAAATTAAAAATTTTAAGCAGTTCATAACATTTGCTTGTAAATTTCAAGTATAATTTGCGTTGACTACCTCTCTTTCAACGAATACAGCCAATTTAATGCAACTTTACAAAATGTAAAACTTCGGGCAAAGATATACACACATACCCGGCACATGCCATTAATCAGGTCCGATTTAAATGACTTTAAGATTTTTTTTTTTTTTTTTTTTTTTTTTTGTAAAGAACTATGGTTATCGCAACGTGCCTAACGTACGGTAACGAATTTGTGAAATTAGACATTAGGTGTATTTAATAAAAGTTTAAAGTAACGAAGTTAAAACATACTAAAAACACATTTGAAGAACTTTCACCTTTTTTGTATACATTCAGCATTGAATAAACAAAACAAAGCAAAAACGGTAACCTATTACATAAATTCCATCTCTTAATTCAGCACTTAACTTACCTTTTTACACATAAACTAAACTGCACTACACTAATAAACACATAAAACACATTCAATGCTTACGTACGATAAATTGTTGTCAGCTATTTAACAGAAGAGCTGAGTTGTTTCTGTTCTGTTCCTTTTAAGGGGCGAATTCAAGTGCAACGCTCTGATAAATTGCAAATGTTAGCTCGCAAGAGGCGTTCCTGCTATCGTCTGCTAAAGTCGAATTCAAGTGCAACGCTTTACCACTCTGGTAACTGATGACGTCAAAATTGCAATCGGGAGCTGGTTTGCTCTCGTGCCAGGAGAGCTTGTCCGATAAACTACATCAATATCCAATGAGACTGCGTGTCGATGTAAACAAAAAACATCAGTTCCCATGATTTCTCTGAGCTTATGGTCAAGTGTTTACTGCGTTGTAGTGTGGTGTAACGAATTGTTCGAATCCTGAAAACGAAAGAAATATATTTCTCTTAATGTGTACAACATGTGTTTAATGTGTACAACTTTATTTACTTTATCCTATAGAAAATTCCCTCCAAAGTAATCTAGAGCAACAGGTGTGTGTAAAATATATTTTACTTTTCAGACAAAAATCCTTGCTTTTTCAAATATAAACCACAATTTTTTTCCCATTTTCAAATTACAGCATTTGGTTTTAATTCTTCTAATAGTAAGTTTAATTTAAAATTCAAATTTGTGTTATATTTTTATTGTTCAATGCAGATGCATGATTCTTCAGTGACAGTAGGCATGTTTACCATATGAAAATTAACTAGTTCTTGAATTATATAGTAATTAATAAGCCCATCTATGTACAAGCAGATAAGCCTGCTGAACACCGCTATCCCAGTCTCTCTTTAAATCCAGGTGAAAAAGCTGGCTGCATGAGTGTTTTCTTCATTTTTTCAATGTATAACATGAATACTAAGTTTTCCTTAGTCTTCCATGCAGGCATTCCTTCCCTTAGACATTCATTATGTGATGAAACAGTTAAGAGCAATTTTAGATTTATATTGTACATCGTTGGGAAAATATAAAAAATGAAATTAAAGGTATTTCAATGTAATACAATAAATAAAAAATTATATGAAACCCTGATAATTCTAATGTGATATTAATGTAATATATACATCCAGAGTAAAGGTTAATTTATAAATTATGCTTTGTGTTCTGCTCATTATATTGTGCATTTACAGTACACTTTCTGCTTCTTAAGTGAAAGTTTGGACCCATTCTCATTTGATATCAGTTATGTTCAGATTTATTTATTTCATAAAATTTCAAAAAACAATTTTTGGCTATTAAAAGCTACAAGTGCAGAAACAAAAGCTTAATTTCTTTACTGTAACTGTGTCATGCTTCTCTGCTGATAATGAAAGTCGTCTTTTAATAAGATTTCTTTCATTGCATATATTAATTATATCTTTTACCATACTGGTTGCCATCTTTCATTGTGCATTCTTCAATATTTTTTGGTACTTACATAATTAACACAAACACCTGGATCAGTTTGGTGGTCTTTATAAATGAAAAGAGAAAAATACTTATCAGGAGAAGTACGTTTTTTTTTTGCTTGCAGCTTGCTTTTAGCATAACCAAACTATCAATATTTATCTAAGTTGGCAAAACGTTATAAACATATCAAAGAAAAAAACATTTAACAAATTTTAAAATACTAATTTGAATTATTAAATAAAAATTATATGATAGTTTAAAAAAAATACATTTTCCACAAATTTTTAGCACTGTTCTTCACTGCTTGTGCCAAGTGATCAGTTTTCACTAAAAAAAAAAAAAAAAAAAAAAAATCAGAGAATTACATAAACTTGATACTGCATGCCTTGTCTATGTACCAAATTCATCTCATAGTTGTTTCCATTAGAAATTTTTGTACTAAAATATTCTATTCCTGCAGAACTTTTAACACAGCTTCTTCTTTTGATGGTAAGCTCCACAAGCAGTATTTTAAATCTGAAATTAATCTAAAACAACTATTCGTATCTAAAAACCATTGGAACTTGAAATACAACATAAGGAACACATATGAAAATGGTGACATTGCTTGAATGAAAAATTGTCATGAGCATGTTACCTGAAAAATTTTGATGCATAATCATTGCCAGAGTTTGGCACATTTTTGAAAATTTGGTAACTTTTATTAAGGTGGTTTCAATAATATGCAAATATCTTTTATTCTTATGATTGCTTCATTGTATACTTTTCCCCTTTCCCTAGAGTGCAGTACAATACCACAAGTTTTCCAGCCAAATGCGGTATGCATTTCAAGTTTCTATACATTTATATAAATTTTAAGAGAGTAAAATATTGACAAAAACTGTATTAAGTTTTCAACTCTTGTTTTGTTTTTCATTAAAAATTTGCTACGATTACGTATAATTCATTTTTTTTAATGTAAATGTTTTTAAGTATTTGTAGGATAAAGGCAAATTACACTTATTCATTCTTTCTTTGATATAATACATGTAGCTCTTTACCTGAAATCAATGTTTGTCAAATTATTGTGCATAAATTAGAAGTATGCATGTTTCTCTTAAGTCAGTTATGTTTCAGGAACTATCTTTAATGAATTGTATAGAAAATTGTGGACGAGGTGTTAGGTGTACAGGAACATGGTATATTATAAACATGTATAGTATCTCGTAGTATATAAACTCATAACTTTGATTATGCAGTATGCTTTGTATATTATTTCTGAAAGCATGTATATTTCAATCAAGATTGTTGAGTAAACTTTTCTTGCTTTATTTATGCTATCTCTGAAAGCATGTATATTTCAGTCAAGATTGTTGAGTAAATTGTGCTTATTTTATGCTTTTTTTTTTTTTTCTTTTTTACATTAGAAAATTCCACACCTTTATCACGAGGAAATCTGCAATGGCATTTAGGAATGACAAGTTTGTATCTATTACATAAAATCTAATGTTTTCTGGATTCTTCTTTTCTTTTCCTTTTCCTCCCAACAGAAAAACTTTAATGGTATAAATCAGCGGTTTTCAACCTTTTGACTGTAGTGTACCATCTAAGCAAAAACTGAAAAACATTAATACTACCACTAATTTTACAATGATTATTTTTCAATTCCTCAATAGAAATATTAAAAACATATATATATATATATATATATATTGCCATTTGCACACTCTTTGTATTAAATATGTACACATAAAAACTATTAGATTAAAAACTGATGATTACTTAATTATCAAAATTAAATTTAATTAAATTAATTATTCACTTGATTATCAAAAATTTCAGTTATAATACTTTAATATTTAATTTCTTTATGTCTGCTCTTATTTCATTTAATGGTAAATTAGGATCCACTTTTTATTTTGGTGAGTATTTATATTTCAAATTTAACATGGAAAAAATCATTTTTCACACAAACAGGTTGTGCGAAAAGACAATACAAATTTGATAGCTTTATTTGAAATGCCTTTAAATTCTTTTTTTCGGTTCAGCCAAAAGTTAACAAGTGTGTCATTTTCCAAATCTTCAAGTCAATTTCGATCAAAGGAAATTTCTATTAACTATTCTTTTCTTTATGAGATTTTTGAATTTCAATAGTTAAAAATATTTTGTTTCTTTGCATACCACCGGCTGAGAACCGCTGGTATAAATTAATTATAACAGATGTAAATTAATATTTCTCATACAAAAGAGTTATTTCATTTCATTCTTTATTGCGAACATTATATACAGAGTATGTCTTTTATTAACAACAAGATTTTAAGAATTTAAAATAATAATCATTAAATCCTCTTGATCTATAAACAGTCTTAAAAATTATAAAGGGAAAAAAATTGAAAGTTAAAGAAATCAATATTATGAATTGTTCCTTTTTAGAGAAGTTTCATTTCATTGTTTAATTAATTATAAAAAGTGTTTTACATTATGAAATATAAAAATTAAGAATATTTGAATTTGAATGAATATTTTAAAATTTTCCCTCAGATAGAAGCTCAACTATTCGAAGCAGGAGACCGAAGAGAAAAAAGGAAGAGAGATGATATTACAGCTGCAGAAAAGGAAATAATTGAAACGCAGAAGAATATATTAATGTACTGTGTGAAATATGTGACTTGTATAAGCAATCAGTTGCAAATCAGTCTGCTGTCATAGAAAATCAAAATATAATTATTAATTTATTAAAAAAATAAATCATGCATTTCAAATATTACAGTGTTTTCATTCTTGTATGTATTTCTGCAGTGTGGGATTCATATTTTAATTGTAAAATTTACTACTTTCTTAATTTTATAAAATTTTTGTGATTATAAAAAAATTATTTAAAAGAAATTCACAGATCCATTATATGACATAAACATTATAATAATTCTAATACCACTATATATAAGTCTCGTGAAAATATTTATGCATTTTACACAGCAATTATCTTTTTTTTCCTGGAGGAAAATGGGAATAAGACCTGTAAGAATCTTTAGTCAATGTATTACAAATTTTAATTTTCAGATATAACACGAAATGAATTAAATTGTTTTTCAATTATGTTAATAAGTTATATGAATGAGATGTGGTATTAAAAATTTCATTTCTTTTTATCATTGAAGAAATAACATTCGATATCCTACAGCTCCATAACAATGGCAGATAAAATTGACATTCTAATTTCGAAGTTCTAAAAATACAGAGTAACTTAAAGATGACAACTATTAAAGTATGGCTAATGTCTAGTTTACAATAACAATGTTGAGTCGAAAAAATCAAACTGTATTTATTTTCCCCTTCTCTTTTTTTGGCTGAAAAACAATTTATTATACACTCATGATTTTACTTAAATGTATTTCTTTTAATGGCAAACCCACTGAGGTAAGTATGCAGTAAGTTATTATAGTGAATGCGTAATGATGATATAAATCTAAATTCAGCAAACAATCTTTCCCTTACTTTACTTTAATGTTTTAAAATCTAGAATTAAAGGAAAAATGTATGTTCTTTAAATAATACAAGAGGATATGGAGGCATAAATCATAGGCTGTTTATTCTTTACATATTATGCTAATCAGGAATTGGAGCAAAACCCTGCTTAATCGAAGAATACGCTCACAGGAATGGTGGAGGAAAATTGAACTGTCCAATATTTGTTTTGCCCACCCCCAAGAAGACATAAACAGTATAGAGTGAAATAATTGTTTTTAGGAAATACATTTAAATATCTTTGACAGAATATGTCAGTTTTAATTTATACTATAATAAATAAGCATGAAGTTCTTATGCTATTAAATGTGTATTGTCACATGGAAATTTTCTATCTTGTCCCACGGAAGGGGACGAAAGGGAAACATTTGACTTTTTGGAAGAAACTGAATTTCGGTGCAGTAAATCTTATTGCTAAGTTTAAGATAAATTAAGTGCAATGCTAATTTATAGTGACTTACTATTGTAAATCATGACTGGCATACCAACACTAAAATATATATATATCGAGCCTATTAAGTTATTTCTGGTAGTCAAGAGTTTTTAAACATAAATGATGGAAACAAGAAATTCAGAGGGAAGAACAATAATGATAAAGGTTGTCAGTATGCATTTGAAACCAGGACTAAATAAAATTATTTAGGATTATTATTATCAATTAAAATCATTTAGGGTTGTGCAATTTAGTTACAGGTTTAAATATAAACCATGGCTTGTGGGTCCCCAAGAATATATTATGAAAGTAATTTTTTTCATAATATATTCTTTATTATTATCCATGAAGGGGGTTTCACCTTTGCCAGAGGTTCATTGTTGCCCACTTTGGGTTTTTATTATCGAGTTTCAAAATTTAAAGATAATTCATTGTGCAATGCAATTTCAACATGCTGAAAACTTTCTGAAGGTACCAACTCATCATCTTCAAACACATCGATCTCAGGATTTTCAACACAATACCTTAAGCATATATTATGTAAAATGGCCACCAGATATGACCATTTTACATATTTTGCTTTGTGAATACAATAGTGTTCCACCAGTATCGTGCAGTACCCTAAATCTTGATTTGATCTCTATAGCTGCACGAACTTTTCTGTGCTTCTCATTATAGATATTCCCGTGATAAAATGGGAATATAATCCACTATCTCCCAAAGATATGCACGATGCGACAAAATACTATCTAGATTTTGTTTCAGTCCACTCCATATAAATGCATCATGAGTATTGCCTGGCCATTGTCCTATAGCATAGAGAACTCTCAGACCAGCATTCCATACCTAGAAAAACATAAATCCTCAGTCAAAAGAAAGTTTCATCTGAAATTTTAATACACAGATTTTTAACATTAAATATAGTTGATATATTAATAAATCAGTCTTTTTAAGGAGTTTACTTTCCATTTTTAACAAAAATATGTCACTGTTTTTTCATTATTAAAAAATATGCAATAAAACGTTAAAACAGACTGATGTATGGTTTGTTGTAACTGCTGTATACAAATGTCTGGCTCAGAATTCCACAGCAGTAATTAGCACAACTTTCATGGTTGATGGTATAATATGGAGGTACCAAAAATTAGTATTATCACAGTAACTGCAAGATGGCTTATATTTCTAAAACTCAGTTAACACATTTCATGCAGAAAGAAAATATTATCCAGTTTCATACTTAAATCAAGGTCACTGAAATGTGGTAAAAGCAATCTGCTTAAGAAAACAGATGCCTCTGTAGAGGACTTTCTATGGAAAACTGGCTTTCATTCCCATTATACATGGGCAAAACCAATGTCATGTAATATAATAATCTATTAGTACAGTAAATACATTTAATTTCTTTGTATTTATTTATGTCATGCTGCTTTTCGTGTAATTTAGTATGATAACCTTATAAGTTTATTTAATTCTGATCATGGTCTACGGAAGTAAGGTAAGTCACCTGTTATCGAGAATATCAAGTTATTAATAGTTATGTGAAAGTCTGCAATAACTTTTCATATCATAAGAGATTTACGAATGTTTATATAACTTACATGTGTAGTTATGCAAGATCTATAGAAAGTATCCAAAATTACCATGACATTAATCACACACTGTACGAACAGGCAAGACATTATACATTAGGAGAAAATTAACTAATATTTTGGGGGATGAAATACTATTTTACACATGGGAACTGTTTAAACAGCTGAGAAAAATTCATGCTTTTTCCCCCTACAGTTACAGAATATATATATATTGTTTCATAAGAATAAAAAGTAAAGTTAAATTTAAATAATTCTCATGCGCCATTGCTGCAAAGAATGAAATTTGAATTTAACAAATATTCTCTATTCATATAAAGTTAATTTAAATTATGAAATTTTAATTGCATACATATCAAAGATTAATTATTGCTGCAAACTAATTTACTATATCACTGAAATTCTGAGAGCATATGTAAATTAAATGCACGTATCTAAAACCATGAAAAAATATATAATATTCCAAAAAACTAATAATCCCAAATATATACATATATATATCTCAAAGACAGGCATATGCATAATTTCTGTTAGAAAAACAATTTCTCTCCGAGATTACGTTTTAGAGTAATTAAAACAATAAATTAATGGTGATATTATTACTTACTGCATTCCAAAATTCGCAGTAATTAACGATTTCGATCATTACTACGAAAAAAAAAACGGGATGAAAAAGAAAGAATCCTGATACAATAACATTAAAAATTTGTGTGTTTACGTATAAAAATATATAATATTCTCAAATAGGTCATTTAAGCATAGTCTTTGATTCGGAAACATTTCCAGAAGTATTTCAGTTTTCATAATCTGAAGTAAAAACAAACCTGCTTTTGCAGAGAATATCCATTGGCAGTTGCCTTCAGAAAAGGTTTCAATTCATTGAAGCAAACCGATTTAATCTGAATCAACTGATGAATTCACGCTCCGACATTTCAAAAGCATTACGACTGTCTCTTAAATGCCAAGGAATTCGATCAGCATTTCTCCGATTTCTTAAACGTCTGAGCAAAATCACTTCAGCCATCTTGTTTACAGTCGCTGTTAAGAGTTTGCGGCAGGTCAGGAGTAGCCGCAAAATTCCTCTATGGTAGTGACGTATTTTCAGTAGGCGTGTCCGAAAAGCGTTGCACTTGAATTCGGTTTTGCAATGCAAGT